TACTACTCTCGCATTGAGAAGGATAAACTTGAGATATTTGTGGGAAAATGGATGCACTTTGAGACCATAATGTTAAACGAAATAAATTAGACACACAATTTAAATATTGTGTGTTTCTTTTACACGAGAAATCCGAAGTATGAATAAAGAGCCAGGGAAAAGACAGATCATAAGAAACAGGGAGATGGATCTTTCTCTAAGGGAAGAGGATTGACAGAAGTGGGAGGGGAGGGAAGGGGATGTAAACAGATTAATATGCATTATGTACCCGCACCACCCCCTCACAAGGAATGTGAACATTATGTACTAAACATGTACTAATAAAAATTAAAATAGATCAATGACACATAATACTTGTTTAAAAACCCCAAATAGATTTATATGTTCAATGAAATCCCAATCAAAACATCAACAGGATTTCTCTCTGATAGAAACCAGCAAACCAAATCTTTTTTTTTTTTATTTTTATTTTTTTTAATTTTTTTGGTTTTTTTTTTCTCCGGTACCGGGAACCAAACTCACGACCTTGCACTTGCCAGGCAGGCGCTTTTGCTGCTGAGCTAAATCCCCAGCCCCCCAGCAAACCAAATCTAAACTTCACATAAAAATGCAAAAGCACCACCATGAGCAACAACCTCCAAGACAAAGCCATCGGGGGACATTCGCTCCCTGACGTTCGGGTTTGCTGTGAACCGGCAGTAAGCCAGGGTGGTGCTCGGAGCCAGACAGCCAGCCGGACAGACAAGAGAGACTCAGATCAACGCACACAGTCAAGAGCCCAGAAACAGAGCAACCCTTGTACGGCCCGGCTGCACAACTGTGCCCCGATCACGCACAGCACCAACGCAGGGTGGCTATTGGGAGCAGCTCAGGGGCAGACAGGTGCTTGGTTGTCCAAGGCTCTCAATTCGATCCTCAACACCACCAAAACTTAAAAATATAAGTAAATCAAGAGCTAGAGGACATGAGAAAATCTTCGTGCCTGTGAGTTAGGCAGAAATTCCTTAGGTAGAGTATGAAAAGCATGAACCGCACAAGGGAAAAACTGGTAACTCGGGTTTCATGAAAATGAGGGACTCCTTCTGATCAGTGAAAGGAAGACAAGCGGCCAGCCGGAGAAGATACTTGCAAGTGACGTGTGGCGTAAGTACTGGTATCAGCTATGCACCAAGAATGCCCTAACCTCAAGTACAGCAAAACAAAGAGCCCCATCTTCCCCACAGTGCAAAGGATTGTGATGGAACCACACCAGAAAAGGTGTGACAGCGCTGGTCACCATGGAAACAATAGTCTGGCGGGCACGGCTGGGACCCCATGCACATTAGATGGCCAGGTGAAGGGGAACGGCGCGTGCCAGGGGAGGGCAGGCTGGGTGTGCAGCCACTGGAACCCCGAGGGCGGGACAGGAACTTGGAGGGCCATCGGCGGCTTCTTAGGAAATGACACATGCTGCTACTCTGAGCTCCGAGAGCCCAGTCCTAGTACTTACTCAAGAGAAACAGAAGCCTGTGCCCGCATGCAGACTGCTGCATAAAGACTTGTAGCTGCCTTTACCTGCTAGGACTCCAAACAGAAGTAGCTCAGGGTCCACCAGCAGGCAGTGTGGACAGGCAAATCACAGGAAGCCACACAGTGGGAGGGGGACCGTCTGTCCCCAGTGTGGTGGCTTCCCAAGGGTGCACACCTTCAAAGCATGTCAGACCATGTGGCCCTGGATTTGATCCTTCTAGCAAGTGCCAGGCCCTGGGCTCAATCCCTGGTACCAAAAAAGGAGAAAAAGAACTTTAGGGGAAAGGACAGGCACATAAAAAGAAGACACGTTGATTCCAATGAAGAATGTGACCATTATATTCTGCACACATAGGCTGATAAACACAAAAATTCTTTAAAGTTTAGGATGAGCTGGTAAAAAAAAAAATCGAAGACGCCTTTGATATTCAGAACAAAACATGGCGAAATGTCCAAGGCAGTCAAACAAGCTGCCTTATGAAGATGTCTGTGCAGGAAAGTTTGTCTGCATAGGAGCAGGAGCACAGAAGGCAGAGAAGTGTGTGGGTGAAATCTTGACGCCTTCATCACCTCTGCCACGCGCTGGTCAGCTGTGGTCTTGGAGGGAAGAAGGCTCAGTCCGACTCCTCAGCCTGTGCATGTTGGTTAGCCCTAACTCGTCCTCTCCAAGAAGATTCCAGACAAATTTACAGACAATGGAAAGCAGTAAGGCTAAACTGAAGACAATTCGTCCCGAGAAGTAGCACCATCGTGGTACTAGAATCAAGTAAGACTAAAAAAATGAAAAAAAAAAAAATACGTTGAAAATAAGGATTCAACGGCTTGTTTTTGACAGCCAGATAATAAGGAGAAAGGACTTGTTTTGAGGATTTTCTTTGGTGTAAAAAAAAATGCTATTTTTGCTTTTGCAGAAAGCTTTTCTTTTTTTTCTCTAAAAATACAATTTCTGCTTTATTAGAAATTAAATCAGAAAGACACCACAGTATTTCCCTGTCCTTATATGCTGTGACCATCATGACATAACTTGGCTAGAGTAAGTCATCTAGCAGATTAGTAGAGCACAGCTGTAAATATGACTCTGGATGATTGATGTGCAGGCCAGCAAACTGAGGGGAAAGACCCGCCCCGGATGTGGGTGACATCAGCCAATAGGCTTATAGCATAGGTGGAATAAAAAGGGAAAGAAGGAGGAAGTGTGCACATTTTCTAAGATCTCCCTTGTGCACAAGCAGTACATCTTTTGCTGCCACTGCCTTTGAGCGTTGGTCTCCAGCTTCTTCAGCTTCAACGTGGTCCCACACCACCAACACCCCAGGCAGCTTCCAGGCTTTCGACCTTGAGCTAGTGCTGCATCCTTGATCCCTCTCGGTCTTCAGCTTCCATCTTGGACTCAGCAGCTCCTGGAGCCTCCCTCTGCCAGCCACAGATGGCCATGTGGACTCTCCCACTTCCTAGCTTGAAAGCTACCTAATAAATATCTTTGCATAATTATATTTTCTATTAATTCTGTTCCTCCAGAGAAACCTAACCAACATGTATGCCAAGATTTTTTAGTGCAACTTAATTATCCCCAGATTTATTGAGTTATAATTTATATCCAATAAAACCCACCATTTCAAGCTCACAGTTTGATGAAGTTGGCAGTTGGCAGCAGTCGTGGCACTACCACGGTCCCAGTCTAGAACTAGGCCATCTTCGTTCAAACGCTTTCCTGGGCCCTGCCCCAGGACCACTAATCTTGAAAGCATTTTACTTTTTAAACAGTTTCAAACACTTTATTGAGGTGTAAGGGGTATATGGTACACCGTACACACTAAAACCACATGGTCTGGCATGCTTTGAAGGTGTGCACCCTTGGGAAGCCACCACACTGGGGACAGACGGACCCCCCCCTCCCCACTGTGTGGCTGTCCTGTGATTTGCCTGTCCACACTGCCTGCTGGTGGACCCTGAGCTACTTCTGTTTGGAGTCCTAGCAGGTAAAGGCAGCTACAAGTCCTTATGCAGCAGTCTGCATGCGGGCACAGGCTTCTGTTTCTCTTGCGTAAGTACTAGGACTGGGCTCTTGGAGCTCAGAGTGGCAGCATGTGTCATTTCCTAAGGAGCTGCCGATGGCCCTCCAAGTGGTTCCTGTCCCACTCGTGGGGTTCCAGTGGCTGCACACCCAGCCTGCCCTCCCCTGGCACGCGCCTTTCCCCTTCACCTGGCCATCTAATCTGCATGGGGTCCCAGCCGTGCCCGCCAGACTATTGTTTCCATGGTGACCAGTGCTGCTGCACCCTTTTATAGCACTGTACCACTGGGCTGTAACATCCTTGATTTCCTTCTACTGCAACACATATCTCACACACATGCAGTCAAACACCAGCTCTGCTAGAAACACATGGAATATGAATTAGGCTATTCTAAGGATCAGTGTAGAATTCCAGGGTTGTGCTAGAGCATTGTTTAGGCAGACCTCATACAATTTATGTGGTTGACGTCTTTCATGGTGATAAATCTAAATATTCTTTCTGCATTATTTGTTTTCAGTGATGAGCTGGGTGTGGTGGCGCCTGTAATCCCAGCACTCAGGAGGCTGAGGCAGGAGGATTGTTGTGCATTCGAGACCAGCCTGGGCTACAAAGTGAGCTCAAGGCCAGCCTGAACTGCATAGCGAGACCCTGTCTCAGAAAGAAAAAAAAAAAAAAAGTGTATTCAATGATGGTAATGATTCACAAAAACTTTCAAAAGAAGTTTTGGTTACCTATTTGTTGAACAGTTTGATTAAAGATTGCAATAGTTTGGGACTAGATGTGAATGTATACACACAAATGCGAGTATACACATATGCAAGCATACATGTAGATACACACACACACACACACACACACGGAGTCCTAGCACCATCATATGACATTTAGATGGATTTGCTAACAGCTTACTCAAAGGCTAAGCAGTTCTAAAATCTTTTTTTGTTTGTTTTTCCTTTTTTTTTGAGAGAGGGGCTCACTATGCATTCAGGCTGGCCTTGAACTTGCTACATAGCCCACGCTGGCTTTGAACGTCAGCAGTCCTGCTGCCTGAGCCTCCCAAGTACTGGGATTACAGTTGTATGCCAGTACACCAGGCTGAATAGAATTCTAAAATCTTTCCGAGGGGCATGCCAAGAGAGAAAGCACACACTTCCTTGAGCAAGTACTCGAATCCCTATTAGTAATGTCAGAGGGGTTTTAGAGCTCAGGATATTAAATTCTGTTTCATGTGAGGTATCTACAGTTCAAGATTCACTTATGAATTATGTGTTCGCTCAATAGGCACAGTTCCAACTACATTTCTCTTGCACACTTTCTTCAAAGTAGCACATTCTGACACAATGTCCTGAGACAACAGCATTTGCATCTGTATTGTTGCCAGAAAAACAAATTACATCGGCAGTGCTGACTACTTAACTGAATTTACATTTACGTCTTGCATTTTCAAAAACAACAAATGACATAGACCTCATAGAATGAATGTTCAAAAGCCTCGCTTTTACTTCATGACTTGAACAAAAATGAAGCCATTATTTGCATTAACTTAATTGCTCTTCTGTTGGGAGCCTCTGATAACTCGCTGGGAACCGGCACCGCCCAGCACTCCTGGACGTGGCCTTGTCCCCACCACGGCGCCATCTTGTCGATGCCCCAGAGAACTTGCTTTTTTTTTTTCCGGTACCAGGAATCAAACTCATGACCTTGTGCTTGCGAGGCAGGCACTGTGCCGCTGAGCTATATCCCCAGCCCCTGACCTAGAGAACTTGGGAAAAATAAATGAACAGAAGTGATGCTTGGTCCTCACAGCCACAGTGGTCACAGTGTCCTTTGGCACCCGGGAAGGGTCGCTGCCTTTGCAACGGGTGTTGAGGATCCAGCGGCAGATCTGTGTTTTCCGCCTTGCATGTGGTCGGCGAGGGTGTTGCCCTTGTGGCATGCTGTGTTTTAGAAGCAGTGCGCCCTGAAGGTCCACATGCCCTGGTGAGGATGCTGGGGGCGTGGCCCTTTAAAGGGTGGGGTCCGGAGAGAGGATGTTGGGGGCGTGGCCTGCAGGGAGGCAGGTGGCTCTAGCCCTTAGAACAGAGGAAGCTGCCTCTCCCCATCCTTGGCATCCCGTCTCCTTGCCACAGCACTCTGGTGCACACAAGCATCTGCCACGAAATGGCAGTGGGACGCCTCAAGCTCTAGCGTTTGCTGCTGGGACTTTCAGCCAACAAAACTGTGAGCCCCACAAAACCTTTTTGTTTGGTTTTGTTTTTCAGACAGGGTCTCACTATGTAGTCCAGGCGGGCCTTGAACTCAGGGCGATCCTCCGGCCTCAGCCTTTGTACGTCCACAGGGTTTCACAACTGAGAGTTTGCCTTGAGTCTCAGAGGAGACTTTGGACTTGAACCCAGCAGTACTGGAACTGTTTGGACTTTGGCAACTCTTAGAGACGGAGTAGATGCATTTTACATAATGGGACACACATGGGGTGCTGGGGGTTAGGGTGGACTGCTGGTTTAGATCTATTATACTTCTTTTTTTTTGGTACCAGGAATTGAACTCGTGACCTTGTGCTTGCCAGGCAGGCGCTGTGCCGCTGAGCTATATCCCTGGCCCTGCTGGTTAGATGTAGAATGTCCCCTCAAATTCTCATGCACCGAGAGGCAGGTCTTTGGGGAGGCGAGCTCATCATGGGGTCCACTGATGTCTTTCTATCTGTACATGGCACTAGCAAGTAGAGGTAGAGGCTGGTGAGAAGAGGCGGTCACTGGTGGGGTGACCTGGAGGCTGGGATTACAGGTGTGTACCACCACAGCCAGATTTAAACCTTCTTTCTTTATGAAATAGTACACAGCCTGGGCTCTTTCGTCATAGCAACAGAAAACGCACTCAGACACAGCAGATGATGAACTGCCCACAAACGTTTGGTGTCAGTTAAGACATTCATCGGCAACTTTCTTCAGTAGCAGAACCCAACAACTTAATCTCTGATCTAGCGTGCATTTTCATCTTATTAACATCTTTAGCTATCATGGCTCCAAGGATTTGTTCCAAAAGTAAGAGTGCATTGCCGAGCAGTGGGGTAAAAAGTTGTACCGTAAACACATAGCAAACCCTCTGCAGGGGGGAGGTAGACACCATGTGGGCACCGGGGGGCCTCCACGTCCTGCAGGAATCCTCCAGAACCTCCCTGGTCACTGCGGCTGCTCCCCAGTGCCCTGGCCAGCGAGTGGGCCCTGGCTCTCTGGGTCACTGCCCTCCTGTGTGGGTGGCTGGTACCTCCAGGGGCAGGAGAAGCAGCCTTGTCAACGCTCCTCCTGCGGCGCCCGAGATTGGGGCAGCTCCTGGCCCTGGCCCAGTGTCTGGTTTCATCAGGGAGCTTTTCATGTTTGGCCGGGGAGAGAGGGTTCTCACAGGTCTCTCCAGTGTGCAAGCGACACCTGTGTCCCCTCTGGGCTCACTGGCAGGGGAAGCTACAGCAGAGCTGGCTGCAGGGCAGCAGGTGAGACCCCGAGGGAGGCCACTTTCTCCGCTGTCACCTGCGGCGTCACCCATGGAGGCTGCTTCATCTTGTCACCACAACCGCAGCTCTGGCTTCCCTGGACACTCCTGCACTGCGCAGAGACAGCGTCTTGAAACTGCCGGGTTCTAGAGACACTGGTGTCTTCATATCATCCTTGGCCCTCCTGACGGGAGCAGTGTCCGGGGAAGACGGCAGGGCTGGTAGGGACGCTGTCCCCAGGCTTCCGCTACAGGGGCGTGGGCTGGACTCAGGGACCCCCTGGGCCGCATACTCTCCTTGGGGGCAGCGGGCAGGGCTGAAGCCTCAGGAGGGGCTTGTTCGGTTCAGTACGTCGTGGATCCTGGGGTGCTCCGTGTGGGGGAGGATGGTGGCGCTGAGAGTTTTCCCTGCCATGGTCTCTCCTGTGTTCTTGGCTTCAGGTAGCCGCTTTTCAGGGCCACTGAGACAGATCCGTCTGCTCCGAAGCCCGTCCCTCCCCTCTGCTGGGGCATGGGTGGTGCTCACACTCTGCCTGTCCGCAGAGCCTCGGGTCCCTCTGAGGCCTCATCCTCCAGCAGGGGTTCCTGTCACCACTGAAGTCACTGAGGGGAGGAGGCCAAGCCCGGCTGGTCCCTCTGGGGCTGGAAGGGCTCTGTGACAGGTGCACCCACTTTGTGGTGCTGACGCCGAGCTGGCTGTGAGCTTGGGCTGGTCGTACACCCAAGGTCGCCTGTCGCCCTCTGGAAGGTGTAGCTAGGCATGGCCAGGTGCTGGATCTTGGAGCACAGGTGGGAAGTTCAGGCAGGGTGGGGTGAGCCGCACCGCACGGCGCTCCCTGTGGGGCTTGGAAGGCGGAGTGTCCTTTCCAGCCACAGGAGGGACCCGTGTGCTCTATGCCTGTGCCAGCCTGTGCCCTCCCGCTCCTGGTCCTTCAGGAAGCTCTGTCAGTGACCTCTGTGCCAGGGACCAGCGCTCGGGGTGCTAGCCCCAAATCTGAGTTTCATTCTGCAGCTTTATTCCCTTCGTGTCCTGGGCAAGTCTTTTAACCTACCCGTGCCTCAGTTTCCCCCATGCAAATAGCCAATTAATCTTTCCCGGCCTCCCCTGCAATCCTCAAAAGGGCTGGCATGAGAACTAAGCGCATAGTGGAGATGGCAGCTCCATAAACCCAGGCTGTCATTATCATAACGCTAATTACAGGCCCTCCGATGGCTGGGGGGCTCGAGGAGCAGGGAGCAGAATCTGGACCCGGAGCGGAGGCTGCCTGCCCCGCACTGGCTGGCTCGTGCTTCCAGCTGGACCTGGAGTTCCGTGCTGGCCTGGCTGGTGCTATGACCCCCTGCCTGGGCATCCACATGAGGTGCTGAGCTCCCGTGGTCACCCCTCCCCTTGTTTTGAGGGGACTGACTTGGCCCTGCCCTCAAGAAAAGCTGGCTTCCAGAGGAAGTGGGCCCATGGCCATCCTCTGAGAGCCTCAGAACACAGCCCCCCAAAGCCTCCATCTCCCAAGTCACACTGGCTGCAAGCACGGTCTTGGGGTCCCACTGAAATCCCCGTGTTCCACACCAGCAGTTGGCCCCTCACCTCAGAAATCTGGCTGTCTCCTGAGACATCAACTTGGGGCCATCCCAGGGCAAAAGCATATTTCTTTTCACCAAAGAACCAGAGGACTTGCACCTTTGCAGAGCACCCTGCTCCCGTTTGGACAATTGCAACTGTGATTCCATCCAAAAAGAAAGGGAAGGAGAGCAAAAGAAGGAATAAAGCACCTATCTGACCTGGCCTCCAGGGCGCCTGAGTCCTGACCCCGGAGCTCCCTGCTTCCCTTCTTCTTGTTTTATTTATTTTTTTGAGACAGAGTCTTACTGTGTAGTTCAGGCTGGCCTTGAACTTGTGGCAACCCTCCTGCCTCAGCCTCTCTAGTCTGAGATCACAGATGTGTGCCATCATGCCCAGCCTCCCAGACACCCACCTTTAGCAAGAACGGGGGCCTTTGCAGCCTGGCCTGCTTTAGCTTCGTGGGGGACATGGTGGGCACCTGCCTCTGTCCATTGCCCCACCTGCAGGCCCGAGTCCTAGCCTGTCCCAGCTTTCTGCCCATTGGTGTGCCCCAGGACCAGGCTGCAGCAGTGCAGGTGGGCTGAGGAGACTTGTGTTCAGGACCCGCGCCGCTCCTGCTCTGCTGCTGGCCAGCCCGCGCCCAGCTGCTTCCACCTCTGTGAGGTAGCGGGGCAGCAGACACAGTGAGCTCAGCACAAGACAGGTGGGGCCATGATGGCTGCCAACCCTGGAGGGAGGGCTGTGACAAGGGACGATGTCACGTGGTCCCTGGCCCCTCCCCATCCGCCCTGCCAAGGCTGTGGCGGGCACTGTCCCCCGAGCGCCTTCAGGCCGGGGCCCTTCTGTCCTCCTGAGCATCCCCGTCCCCACCACTAGGTGCCAGCAGCATCCTCTCTGCCCACAGGACACCTCCACACTGGCGCGGGGCCCTGGGGCCAAACTACTCGGCTCCTCTAGGATGAGAGTGGCGACCAGAACTGCATTCTGGGTCAGTTGCGTTTCTGCCCCTACTGGCCCTCGGAGATTCTGGGAACCAGGGGTTTTCTGGGTCACTGGGACAATGGGGAGGGGCCTAAATGGCCTGCGGGACCCCTGCCCCCGGGCCCTGCCCTGTACTCCAGTGCTCAGGCTCCAGGTTCAGGGTGACCTTGGTGTTTGTCTGCAGATGACCGGCACTCCAGGGAAAAAAATCCAGAGCAAAGGAGCTCATCTCGTTTGGCCTGTGCACAGCCCACAGCGGCACGCGCAGTTCGCAGGGGACTCCGTCCCTGTGAGTCACAGATGCAGCCATCGCATCAAATCTGCTTCGGGGTCAGACCCTGTGCCCGGTGTCACCCTGGAACACGCCATGAAGCACAGGGGTGTCACGCCCGGCTTGGCCCTCCACGTTCTCGCATTGCTTGTTAACATCCGGCTCCCCCGCATCCTCAATGTGCTTTCAGTTTTTGAGGTAGGGTCTCCCTCACAAGGCTCTGCAGGCCGGCCTCGAGCTCTCCATAGCGTAGGCTAGCGATCCGCCTTCCTCTCGTCCTCGGAGCAGGCTGGCAGCGGAGGCTCACCGCACCTGAGGGCTTAAACAGAGCGGGCGGTGAGCTGGCTTCTCAGGACGTCTCAGACTCCTTTGCTGGGCCAGGCTACCGCGGAACTGACGCATAGTCCCAGGGACACAGCACCCAGCCAGCTGACACCGGGCTGGGAACACGACAGTTCTCCTCCCCGGAAATTTACGTTATTCCTAGGGATGCACGAACAGATGTGTGCGCTACACGTCACCCGCCTCTTGCTCACTCTGCCTCTTACCACACATACACGGGTGTGAAAACATTTTAAATATGTGTTATATGTAGGTACCGAACAGCGCAGTGCCTTTGTCCTTTTTGCCACTGACTAGGTCGCTCACGATGGGCAGAATGGCGCGTGGCCGTGGCCCCGGAGGCTGCTGTGCAAGAGCATGCACGGGGACTTTGGCGCCAGCCCCGGGGCCGCTGGTCCCAGGCAGAGGTGGAAAGAGGGAGCACACGAAGGGGCCACGCTCACTCTGAAGCAAATCCACTTTGCGAAGAGCAGATCTGCTCCCGGAGGAGGGCCTCAGTCTGTTCCCGAGGGCGCAGCCTCACGCCCCGGCCTCCCTCCGCTGTTATACTGAGGCCTGCACTGCTCACACGGGCCTTGGGCAGGCAGAGCCGAGCGGAGCGTGGGACGCACAGGTGTGTGCTCTCTGCACGTGCGCGGAGCAGCATGCGGGACTGACGCCGTGGTTCAGACTTCTGTGGACAGAGACCTCTGTTTATGGTGACAAAAAACGAGGAACAAATATTAGTATAAAATATTTATGCACCTTCTGGACCAAACAATAGGGAACTAGTTTGCTATTTATTCAAAACAAGGGGGTTCAAAAAGTCACTCGCAATTTCGATTAGGTCTCACAGATGAAATAATTGAAAAATACAGGGTAGCAAAACGCCAGCCAGACACCCATCATTGACAGCTGCACCATTACGTTCGGTGGGTGGACACACGTTTTATTGAAATTCCACCACCCACAGAGAAGGAAAGGCCAACACGACGGTGTAAAGTGCGCTGTTTAAAGAAAGACAGTAACGCAAAAGGAATTCGGAAAGGGTGGGTAGACTGTCCAGATTGTAGCGCTGTGCTGTGTGTTGAATGTTTTCAGATACACCATATGCGGAGAAATTACGAGTAAGTTTGATAAAATGGTCATTTTTATATTTCCTGTTATATAATCTTATAAAAACTAATGAAAAGGTGCAATTTTTGGTCACCCTGTATTTAAATAATCGCACTGGTAAGTGGTTAATAACAGAGTTGACAAAGATTCTCATGAACGAGGACGTTAGTCACTCCTTGGGCGGTAATTTAAAGCGCTGTCTTTATACAGGGGGCGGGTTTCCCGGAGGAGTCTGGAGGCGGGTGGGCGGCAGGATGCGGGGACGCGGAGCCGAGGCTTCTGTTTCCTAGACGCCCGCGAGTGTCCCGGTCCCCACCGCTCAGGCCAGCTGCTCCCGCCCTCCCCACTCCCTGCTGCAGACGTCACTAGGCCTGCAGGGCGCAAAGACCCGGGTGCTGGTCACAGGTGGCCCGGGCGGGGCATGGCGGCTGGAGGCTTCCCGCTGTTCCAGGCTGGGGACACAGGCCGCCAGGTGCCGTCCTTGAGGCTGAGGGCAGGTCCCCCAGCTGCCGAGGTGCTGGGGCCGAGGACGTCATCGGGCGTGGCCAGTGTTCCCTCGAGACGGTTCTGAGCGGCGCTGCTCACGCTCCCCACCTGCCCCGTGGGGTCAGAACCCCGTCCTCAAGCTGCCCCGGCCCTGAGGCCCTTCAGTCCTGCTCGGCTCCTGCTCAGCCGCACTTGGCGGCTGCAGGACGGCCGGGATCCGGGCGCTGTGCCCGAGGTGTTCGGCAGGGATTCAGCAGGGACTTCTGCTAAACATAAAATAAAACTTCTCTTCCGCAGTCGCAAGGCAGAGGCAGAGGCGGAGCACCCGCGGGTCACGTTCCTGCCGCCCAAGGTGCTGAGCGTGTGCGTGTGCAGAGGACGCAAGCCGGGCTTTGTCGTCCTCCACCCCCCACCCCCGTCCCTCCAGGTGGGGTGCCGCTGCCGGTGCCGCTGCCTGCGGACCTGGAGGCCGCTGTGGCCTTGAGGATGGTGAAAACTGGGCCTCCCCTGGCAAGGCGAGGTACAGGGCTCCCTCTGCTGGGAGCTGTGATTCTGAGTCGGGGCCGCAGGGTTCAGGTTCAGCCAGGTGCCAGCCAATGGGCACCGCCGGGCCACCCTTCCCGCCCTCCCCGTGAGAGGGGCTGGTCCTTGCCACGTCTTCCCGGCTCAGAGACCCGGGCCTGACCCCGCAGAACACACCTGGAGTGGAGCCAGATGCCAGGTGACACCCGAGGGCCCCAGGGCGCTGGGTGCCAAAGCTGGGGAAAGAAGGGCTCCCGGGCCCCTGCCTCTGCCCGTGGGCCGCAGCCTCTGCCTGACGCCAGACCCCAAGCCTCTTTCAGTTTTGCCTTCTCCGGCTGGCGCCCGCTCACCTGCACCGGCAGCTTAGAGCAAGGGTGTGTCCGCCTTGGACTCTCCCCCGCTGGCATGATCAGCATTTGATTCCATTTCCTCCATTTCTGAGAAATGAAGGTGATGCAAAACGCAACACAACAAACGCAGCGTCTTATCCCCCTCGCTCACTGAGAGCAGAAGGGATCCCCGCGGGGGGAGCTCACTGCCCGCCGCGCTGCGCACCACAGGGAGAGTCGGCCGGAGGAGAGGTGCCCCTGGGCAGACCGGCCCGAGGGCAGCCGGCGGGAGGGGCTGCTCCGCGCGCACTCTCGGACCGCTGCGCGGCTCTCGCTCAGGAATGGAGCTGGGCGGGGCTGAGGGCTGTGCACGGCCCGGCGGCCAGCGCGCCTCCCACGGCCCACGCACCCGCAGAGGAGGCTGCCTGGGAAGGAGGAGGAGGGACCTGCCGTCGGGGACGGGCGTGTGCGCCTGGCTCGACACACTCAAAGCGAGCAAGCAAGTGGAAGTGGGGTGCAGGCCGGGCCTCCGCGGCGTTCCTGGACCGCCGCAGTGTGACAGCCGCGAGACAGTTTTGCAAAAGACAGAGAATTATTCACAAGGCGGCCGCGTGTGGCAGCGGGATCCCGGGGGGGAAGGGCTTGGACTGCGGGGAACGAGGACACAGCCGGTCCGATGCGGACGGGTGCGGGAGGTGCCCTGGTCAGCGGCTTGCGGGTGCGAGATCCGTCCTCACGCCTCCTCACGGCCGCATGTTCAGAAAATGGGGGTTTTCAGCCCCTGACGCCGGGGCTCACCCAGCAGACAGCTGAGCGGGCTCCGGCCAGGTGTCGTGGTTTGGGTAGGAGTGGCCTTCGTGTCGCCGAAGAGCAACCCAGGCCACCGTCAGCATCGCGCCCAGCGACGGCAGTACCCCGTGCAGCAAGGTCAGTGGGAGGCGAATGACACCTTGCTCGGCGGTGCGGCCCGGAATTAGTGATTTTAACTTCAGCTAGAAGCAGATCGATGAAAGCACGCAGGGCTGGAGGGTCAGTCAGGGCCCCGTGGCTCCAGAGAGGGTTCTGGGGTGTCCCAGCAGAACCGTCGGGGCGGGAGAGCGGAGGTGACAGGCGGGGACAGGATCGGAGTGTGCTGTGGCGTGTGCACCGGAGATCGCCTCGGGGACCCGTCAGCCAGATGACATCCGCCCTGGGGAGGCAGGAGCAGTGTGCCCGGTGACGAGCTCCTGCTCCCTGCGGGGCTCGGGACGGCGCTTGGGTGCTGCGGGGTCTGTGCTGAGTCCCCGCTCCGGGTGCCTCCTGGCTTGTCCCCCACCCCTTCCCTTCTGCAGTCTGACGACCGAGTCATCCTGTCACCTGACCACATCTGCTCTGAAGACGGTCGTCTCAGGGCTCCAGTCTAGCCCTGTGACCTCCCACTCCATGGACAAAGCCTCCCGGCAGCCAAAACCCCAGCACCATGGGAATCTTCTCATCACGCAGCTGAGGCCGGGACCTGACCCTGTGTCAAAGGGACCTGCCGGGCTCCTGCCCCTGCCATGGGCGAGGCTGTGGCCACAGTGCCCCCTGGTGGCTGGGAGGCAGCATTGCCCCGTCGGCGCTGCAGTCCTGATCTCCACAGCTGCTGTGGGCAGGACAGGGCTGTGAGCCGGAGCCTGCACAGAGAAGGAGCGGGTCGGTGGTCCTGGGAGTCTGGGCTGCTGTCCCAGAGGTCCCTCCGCGTGTCCCCAGCCTCCCAGGGGGTGAGGGAGGTCGCACAGGCTGTGAGCATGATTACCCAGCAAGGGACAGCGGGCGGCTGCAGACCCTGTGGGCGCTGGCTGGGGAGGCCTGCGAGGCTGGGAGCCGGGTCCAGCCTGAGAGCCCCGCAGGGCCGCCCAGCTTCTGTGCCAAGGGCGGCGCGGGAATTCCTTCTACCCTATGGGGGCTGAAGGCCACGAGGCTGCGGGTGCTGAGCAGGGTCAGCGAGGGACCTGTGCAGGGCAGTGCTGGAGTCCCAGCTGGCCGGGAGGCTTCATTCTGCAGCCAGCGTTAGGGCCATGGGGAGAGGCTGTGGGGGTGACCTCAGGTCGCAGTGGGGACAGCCTGAGGGGGGTGGGAGGGGCCGTGCAGTGGGGCAGGCAGCCTCAGGGATGGGAGAAGGCCCTGCCCTTCCAAGCACAGAGATGGTCAGGGTGAGGGCGGGCCTGGGCGGGGGTCAGGCCACCTGAGGGCGACCTGAGCCACCTGCAGTGAGTGACAGTGGTTGCCTGGCCTGGCTGCGTGATATGGAGACAGTCATCTCTCCTGTGGAAGATGCCTGCCCTCCCCAGGAGAGAGGAGTCATTCTTACAGGACGTGCAGGGGGCGGAGTCCTGTTACCAGGGCCCTGTGAAAATGCTACATGTCACCCTTGGCCTCTTCACGCAGCTTAGTTTTCCACTGCCGCCTCTCCTGTGGGCCAGAGACTTCTGTTCAACCAGGGCATTGCCTCGTCTTTAGATCTTTACTTCCTGAGAGGCTCCTGGGCCATGTAAACCTTATGATCTAATGTCTTAGTCACTTTTTCTTATTGCTGAGACAAAATACCCAACACCCAAAGGTAAAGGGGAAAGGTTCACTGTAGCTCACAGTTTGCAGAGGTTTCAGTCCATAGTCAGTTGGCTTCAAGGTAGGGTGGCACGGCAGGGGGGCAATGCAGAGGAGAACAGTTTATGGTGGGCAGAAGGTAGCAAAGTGAGCAAGTCCAAGTGACCAACTATGAGTAACTAAGACTAAACTCTCCCTGAGCCTTATATTATATCCAGGCTGCCCACCTTGAGGGTGACAGCGCTCACACCCTTAATCCTAGAAATGCACCATGAAGCAACCACACACTCTAGATCCAGCCACCTCTGAGGAAACCTCACTCGCTGGGGCAGTGCCTTCACCTCTTAGAGGTCCAGCTCTTTGTACAAAGGCAGTTACATGTGAATAGGAGCTCAGGTGGTGCTGACATGTCAACTGACCCTAGTGCTGGTGGGAAGGGAAGAGGAGGCCCAATGGAGGCTGGCACAGCTGTGAGGTCTCGTGATGTGACCTCAGACCTGCAAAATCAGTGGTGCTTAAGCTGCAACAGGAGCCACATCCCAGGTACAGGAGTCCTGGCTTTACACAGCAAAAAACAACAGCAAAAACAAAAACAAACTTTATCGAGATGTAATTCACATATCATAAAACTCATCCAGTGTTAGGATACAATTCAGTGTTATTTGCATATTCATAGAGTTGTGCAACTGTCGCTACAAATTTCAGGACACTTACATCCCTAACTGCCATTCTAACAAGCCGATCTACGCCGTCTCCACAAGTTGTTAAAACTGTTCTTTACAATTTCCCATACATTTATCTTTTCCAGTGCTCCTTGTTTTGTTTCTGTGGATTTGGATCACTCCCTGGTATCTTTGCTTTCAGCCTCAAAAACTTCTTACACTTGTACAGCAGGTCTGCTAGCAACAGTCTTCCAAAGCTGGGAATGTCCAGATTTTCCTTTCATTTTTGAAAGATAATTTTTCTGGATATCAGATTCTTGACTGACTTTTTATTCTTCGAGCACCTCATGTCACCCCACCACCTCCTGGCCACTGTCGTTTCTGGTGAGAAGGTAGCTGTTAGTCTTATCAAGGTTCCCATGTATGTGATATGTCTTTTTTTCTCTTTCCAGATTTTCTTTTGTCTTTTTTTTTTACATTTTTTTTCTTTTTGTCTTTCTGAGACAGGGTCTTACTGTGCAGTTCAGGCCAGCTGTGAACTCACTTTGTAGCCCAGGCTGGTCTTGAACATGCAACGATCCTCCTGCTTCAGCCTCCTGAGTGCTGGGATTACAAGTGTGCGCCACCATGCCCTGATCCACATTTTGATTATGATGTGACTCCTCTTAATTTTTTGCCTGAAGTTTGCATATAGTAGTTGGGAGTTTATTCAGGTTAATATTTCTTTGATAGTGTTGGCAGGTTCTCAAGCCATAGTCAATGAATACTTTCCTCTGCCTATTTGTCTTCTGTCTGTGCTTCCATTATAACTGCTTATGTTGGTGTGCTCAGTGGGTCTTGCACAGCTCTTGATCTCTGTTCATTCATACTTTTTCTCTTCAGATGACATAATTTTAATCCATCCTTGAAGTTTACTAACTCTTCAGCCAGGTCACAGTTATTTCTCAATGCCTCTAGTGAACATTTTCATGTTTGATATTGTACTTTTACTTTTTGTTGGTCTTTTTGAGACAGGGTCTCACTATGCAATTCAGGCTGGCCTTGAACTCACTTTGTAGTCCAAGCTGGCCTCAAACTCACAGTGATCCTCCTGCCTCAGCCTCCCAGGTGCTGGGATTACAGGTATGTGCCACCACGCCTGGCTCAATATTGTACTTTTTGACTTTAGAAATAAACCCCTTCCTTCCTAAAAATACTTTCTCTTTGCTTATTTTCTCTGATGTGGTGTCTTCCCACATTCTTTTAACTCTTTAGACAAGGTGCCTTTTTTGTGTTAGCTTTTTGTTGTTGTAATGATATACTGAGGCAGACTGCTTTATAAGAAAAGAGGTTTGGGCTGGAGATATTGCTCAGTGGTGCAGTGCCTGCCTGGTAAGTGCGACTTTGTGAGTTCATTCCCAGTGTAAAAAAGAAAGGAAGAAAGAAAGAAAGAAAGAAAGAAAGAAAGAAAGAAAGAAAAAAGGAGTTTTATTTAGCTCACATTTTTTTTTTTCCTGGTACCGGGAATTGAACTCACGACCTTGCTCTTGCTAGGCAGGCACTGTGCTGCTGAGCTAAAGCCCCAGCCCCTTAGCTCATAGTTTTTGAGGTTTGGTACAGGCTCTGGTCTTACAAAGTTCAGAACAAAGCTTCATGTGAATAATAATGATGAGCACTATATAGCACTTACCAAGTACCAGGCACTTTTAAAAGCACTTCTAGATATTAAGTAAATTAATTGGGTGATGGCTCTAGGAGTGGATGCTATTACTGGAGGGCAAAGCCACAGGCGTAGTGTTGTCTGGGCTTGCTCACATCTGTAGAGACAGTGAACAGAGGGATCTACTTCCCCATCTGCTCCTCCCACCACCGTGAGAGCAGGTACCTGGGGAGGGCTGGAGCCTGGCAAGTCTGAGGTCAGCTGTCAGCAGGGTGGGCTCCTCCTGTGGGGTGTGCGGGAGAATTTGTTCCAGCCTCTCCCTTTGTTTCTGGCAGTTGCTGGCAATCTTTGCCACTCCTAGGGTTAGAGCAGCATCACCTGACCATTGCCTCCATCTCCCTAGAGTGTTCTTCCTGTGCGTGTGTCCAAATTCCTCTTGTTTCATAAGGACTATGGTCCTATTGAATTAGGCATCATCACTCCAGTGTGACCTCATCTTGGCTTATATCTGCAATGATTGTTTCCAAATAAGGTCGCAGTCTCAGGTACTGGGGGTGAGGGCTTCAGCATGTGAGTTTTTTAGGGGGGCATGGCTTAGCTCATAACAGAGTATCTCTGTGAACCCATAGAAAGCTGTTCGGAGTTTAACATATTGTAAACACCCACGATTCTGCACTTTACATTATATGGATTGATCCCCAATCCAGGATGCGCTCACTGCTCTGGTTTATGCCCAACTCTTGGCTCCAACTCCAAGGTGCCCAGAGACTAGGCAGACAGTGGAAACAAGCACATGAGTGAATACATGCGTCAGACAGAAGCTGGAGTGGTGGCGCTGGTGGAGAGCCAGAGTGCCACACCCCTTCCATGTGGAGCAGCTCAGGCCAGCTCCAGCTCGATGTTGCTGAGGAAAGTGGGTCCAGCAGGGTCAAATCCCCCAGTTTTCCATGACCAGGTGAAAACTGAAATTTTATGTGAACTTCCCTAATTTTTGAATGTCAACAGCTCATTAAAATGTTTTGTAGAACAGATAACTCTGCAGACCAAACAATAAAGAAAATAGAATGGTCCTGAAACTGCCAAACTCCCTGGAAAGTGTCTCCTACAAAATAGGCCCATGCTCAACCAATCTGTGGAAACAGGTAAATGTCACTGCAGAGTCAAAATTTATCTCCAAGGGAAGTAATCCCTAGCTCTCCCCCAAATTCCGAGGAGCCAGAGTCAGGTACAGGGATCCCTCCTCCTCTGCTCACCTGGAAAGAATGGGGAGACCCTTGCTCAGGAATGATGAGGAGCAACAGTTTCTCAGGCAGGGGTCACCTCTTCTGCTTACTTCCTGAGGACACGTTCCAGAGTCTGGGCCTGAAGTGACCTGTGGGGCGGCCACTGCAGGACGCTTAGACCTGGTTCTGGTCAATGTCAGCTCTTTCAGGGTAAGCACTGCTTTGCGCTGTGCTGTTTTGACTTCAAGTCAAGGCTAATTTATCGTATTTTGTTTAATTCAAAGGAATCTAGCTCATTCCCTGCCAAGCTTGTATGTGAAGATGAATGTACATCTCGGCCTGGCCTGCGTGTCTTTCTCCAGCTTTATTCTGGACAACTGAAAACCTTACACGCTTGCAAGCACAGCTTAGTGAGTACTCGTGTATCTTCACCTACGTGCACTAAACGTGCATATCCATCAAGCTTGTTTTTCTCTCT